CAATTTACAGTAAAGCAAACTGAGGCTCAGAGTGTTTCAAAGGACTTGAGACAAGTCTAATACAAAAGAAGTCACCAGACTTGGAGGCAAAAGTCCTGGTTTCTAATTCTAGTTTTGCAAACAGTTTGCTGTGTTACCTTGGGTCAGTCACTCTACTTCTCTGGATCACAGTTTCTTTATCGGTGAAATGAGAATATTGTATTGGAAGGTAGACACCTTTCAAAAAAAGTACTTTGACCAAGGTTGAGGTGAGAAGAAGAAGGAATGGGATTGAGTGTTCTATAACTGTCATCTGAGGAGAGATTTTAATTATTGTAGAATCAGACAAATGTGCTCAATAAAAGTTTCCTTGTTTGTGCTTTTGATTCTCTTGATTCCATAATTAATGAGACAGTTGTACACAGAATACCCATGGTCCAAAGGTTTGCCTTTGTCTTGGATGTTGGCATTGAGATAGCTACCAGCCTTTGCCCAATCCAACTTTTGAAGCCCTGGACATTCCTGGTCCTTAGGAAATGGATCACAGAACCATAGAATTTCAGAGCTAGAAAGAATTTTAAAGACCCTTTAGTCCAGGGATCTTAATCTTGGACCCATTTGGCAGTCTGGTGAAGCCCACAGACCCCTTCTCAAAATAATGTTTTTTCTTAAATTGATAATTGAAAGAAAGACTAAATTTCAATGTGAGGTTAGTAAAAATAAAGACATGATTTTTTTTCCTATCCAAAATCATGTACTTCCTGAAATCTATCCATGGACCCAGGTAAAGAACTGTTGCTGTTGTTCAATACCCCTTTGAGAGTAGAAGGGACTTATCTAAGGTTACACAGTGAATCAATGGAAAGGCCAGGACTCAAACTGAGGTCCCTTGATGCTGAGACCACTGCTTTTTTTTTTCATGGTGCCACATTGTCCATTGTGGCCTCATTTCAGGCTGTTAGTGCAGTCTTTCTGTGTGACAAGTCATTTAAGCTTTCTGGGACTCAGTTTCCTTATCTGTAAAATGAGACGATTAGATTAGACAAGTTGTAAAGTCCCTATGGTGTAGCTAGGTAGCACAGTGGATAGAGTGCCAGGCCTGGTGTCAGGAAAACTCATCTTCATGAGTTCAAATCTGGCCTCAGATACTCACTGGCTATATGACCCTGGGCAAGTCACTTAACCCTGTTTTCCTCAGTTTCCTTATCTGTAAAATGATCTACAGAAGGAAATGGCAAGCCACTCCAGTATCTCCAAGAAAATCCCAACATGGGGTCATGAAGAGTTGGACACAACTGAACAATAAATTAACAACAAAAGTCCTATGATCGGGGCAGCTAGGCGGTACAGTGGATAGAGCACCAGCCCTGGAGGCAGGAGGACCTGAGTTCAAATCTGGCCTCCGATACATAACACTTACTAGCTGTGTGACTCTGGGCAAGTCACTTAACCCCAATTGCCTCACCAAAAAAAAAAAAGTTAAAAAAAAGTCCTATGATCCTATGATCTCTGGGAAGTTCCACTAAATCTACCCTCTCCTCCCCTTGATGTGGCAGGGAACTTGGGGAGGGCTGGGCTCCAATAAATGTATTGCCGTCACACTTTCCATTGATGCTGAATTCTGCCACAGCTTTTCAGAGAAGGGTGTGATATCTGGGAGGATTCTGTTACAGAAAGGGCTAAAGAACCATGCTTGGCTGGCCAGAAGATCTTGACTTTTATGCATTCCTCCCCTCCATGCATTCTCTAGTCCACCCATACTGGCCCATTTTCTATTCTTCACACATGCTGTTCTGTCTCTTGTCTCAATGTCTTTGCCCTGGTTGTCCCAGTGCTTGGAATATTTGCCTCCTTGTCTCTCTCTCTCTCTCTCTCTCTCTCTCTCTCTCTCTCTCTCTCTCAATCCTTAGTCTCCTTCAAGACTCATTTTAAGTACCACCTTCTACATGGAGCCTTTCCTGATCCTGCTAGCTGCTGGTACCCTCCCTCCCAAACTACCTTGTATTTATTTATTCTGCATATGCTGTGTCCGTATGAATGCATGGGCAGCTAGGTAGTGCAGTGGACAGAGCACCAGGCCTGGAGTCAGGAGCATCTGAGTTCAAATCTGGCCTGACACTTATTAGCTATATGATAACAACAACAACAAATGTATGAGTTGTCTCTCCCATTAGAAGGTAAGCTCCTTGATGACAGAAAGGGTTTCAGTTTTGCTTTTGAATTTACAGCACTTAGGACAGTGCCTGGCACACGGCACTTAATAAATGCCGACTGATGGATTACTCAGGACCCATGGCCAAACATGGAAAGAATGGTGTCAAAGCTAAATTTATTTCAAGTGGTAGTTTCTCTTCTCTTCTATCAGTGAGAAAACACTATGAAGGTCACACAATGATTCACATTAAATTTCACTGAAATGTCTGGAAACTGCCTGACAGACAGGAGACAGGAAAGCAACTTCCAGACAGTGACTGTGGTAAATAACCCTTCTGCTCTGTCCCTGGACCTGGGGCTCAGAGTGCGGGCTATCGTAACCATGGAAGAAGAGTGTTAATTCAAGGCCACATCTCAGTGGTTTTTCATTTTGGACTAGCTGGTATTTGTGTGGTGACATGCATGCTCTTTAAGTATCATGGATTGTAGGATTTTGAGTTGTAAAGACCCATAGAAGTCATTGAATCCAGATTCCCTGAGCAGGTCACTAAGTTGTTCTAGATCTCAGTTTCTCTATGTATAAAACAGAGATTTTGGACCAGACGATCTTAAGGTTCCCTCCATCTCCACATCCATAATCCCATGACCCCTGCTTTCAGGGAGCTGGCAGCCTTATGGAAGCAATATAACTTACAAATAGAAGACGTTGCCGCTGTTCAGTCGTGTCCAATTCTTTGTGACCCCGTGGGCCATAGCACTCCAGACCCTTGTACCCTCCCCTATGTCTTGAAGTCTGTCCAAGTTCATTGTTTCCATGACACTATCTCTCCATCTCATCCTCTGCCGTAGGAGAAGTTAAATGATGACAGAGACAGACGAGGAGTCACAAGGTTGGATATGATAAATAGTGCAAAATAATTGTTGTTCGGTCATGTATAACTAACTCTTCATGACTCCATTTGGGGTTTTCTTGGCAGAGATATTTCTTTCTGTCCATTTCCTTCTCCAACTCTTTTTACAGATGAAGAAACTGAGGCAAACAGGGTTAAGTGACTTGTCCAGGGTCACACAGCTAGTAAGTGCCTGGTCACATTTGAACTCAAGTCCTCCTGACTTCAGGGCTCACATTCAATCCATTGTGCTACCTAGGTGACGGGGACTGTCTTTTACCTTTCTTTGTATCCCTAGAGATTAGCACAGTGCCTAGCACACAGTAGACACTTAATAAATGTTTACTGACTGATCCACCTTTCTAGAGGTAGGAAAGCATCTCTGTTCAATTGCTTTGCTTGGCCCTGGACAATCCCTACAGGAACCCTCCTCCATGCCAGTGGAACTGGGCTCCTGACTGTTGGCTAAATACAACACACACATTTCCAGCTCCACATTTTTACTCATACTCTGTGATAGAATAGAAACAATACTAGACTAGGAGTCGAAAGATCAAGGTCCCAGTTCTGCCACTGTCATTGTGTGAGCTTCAGCACATCCATGTCCTCTCTACCCCTCTGATTCCTGGAGGCATCTAGGTGTCACAGTGCCTCAGGCCTTGAGTCAGGAAGACCTGAGTTCAAATCTAGCCTCAGACATGTGCTAGCTGCATGGCTGTGGACAAGTCACTTAATTAAGTTACTCTCTCTGCCTCAATTTCTTCAGCTGTAAAATAGAGTAAATAGTAAAACAGAGTAAGATAAAATTCAAGCAAACACCTGTTTGTCTCAGTTTCCTCATCTGTAAAATGAGGTGGAGAAGGAAATGGAAAACCACTTCAGTATCTCTGCTAAGAAAACCACAAATACTGTCACAAAGAGAGGGACATGCTGAACAACAGATCAGGTGCAAAGACAAACCGTGCAAAGAGTCAGTCTGTCTATCAGCCAGGAAGCCACTTCTTCGTTGGCCAGGCCAGGCTTTAGAAAGTCTCAAAGAGAGGTCCCACTTGTCCTAATTCTTCGTGCTCCAACCTGGACTGGTCTACTCACCATCACCAAACATAATCATTGTTTTCCCTCTGTTTTTGAGATGCCAGTCGTACTAATCCCTTTACCTAGATGCTCTTTTCCTAGGTGTTAGGGTCAAAATCCTGCCCACCCTTTCAGGCCCAGTTAGTGGCACTTCTTCTTTGAAGCCTTTACTGATCAGTCCAGCTTGAAGTGAACTATCCCTTCTGTGAATCTCCCACAATCTCCTGCTTGTTCCCCGCCCCTTTGTGGACCTTACTCCCTCCTGCTTGATTTGTAGCGGTTTTTTTTGTTGCCCCTTATCTCTTCTAGGACTGTGAGCCTCCTGAGAGTTCCCCGTTTCATTTCTCGACTTGCTGACATCCCCATAAAGAGATCCCGGACCCCTGAGTACAGGAGGAAGGTCTGCCCGGTCTTTTGGATTCTGGGGCCCTGCGTGGGCTGGGGAAGCAAGAGTTACCCTCCGCTCCTACCTGCAGCGGAAGCTTAGCATCCCTGACAGTCAGCTGTTCTGCCCTCGGACCCTGGCTCCCTTTTCTGTTAAGGACCCAAGAAAATCAACTTTGGCGCAGCGCTGGGCTCTGGGGCGCACGGAGGTGGGGCGTACGGGAGGAGAAGGTGCTTTGGAGAGAGCTTGGGGGCGCCTACGGTCGCCGGGAGCCGAAGTTTGTCCCTCTCTGAGGTCCCCTTCGCTCTCCTGGGGATCCGGGGCGCCTCCCACAAGGACAGGAGGTAGCCGGGTTCGGGGCTGGCCCCACGCGAAGCTGGGCGGGCAGCTTTTCCGTCAATCAGCCTGACTTCACTGCGCGCCCCGGCCCCTTGGCGTTACCCTCGAACCGCCTCCTGGTGTCTCTGCTTCGCTGCGATTGCAGCGTCTTGGGCTAGGGCGGGAGGGAGCGAGGTAGGGGAGGGAAGGAAGGAGGCAGGGAAGGAGCCGCCGCTGAGTGAACAAACGCGCGGAGGGGAAGCAGCCGGGTCACCGCAGGCTGGGGCGTCCTCGGCTCCTCGTCTCCTCCTTCTCTTCCTCCCCACGCCGCGCCCCCCGCCTTCCCCTCCCTCCGCCCCGCGCCCCGAGGGACTGCAGCTGCGGGCGGCTCCAGCTGCCCCAGATGTGGGCTGGGCGGCTCGCGGGCAACTTTAGCGCGGCTCCGCGTGCGGGGCTCGGGCTGCGGTTCGGCGGCCATGGATCTGCCAGCGGGAGCCGCTCGCCTCCTGCTCTACTGGGCGCTGTTGCTGCTGCCGTCACTGCCCACGGGCGCCCTGAGCGGCTCCGGCCCGCGAGGTAGGTCCCGCTCCAGTCCGGACTCCAACCCCCCTGCCCCGCGCCGGAGGGACTTGGGCTAACTCCGCTCGCCCAGGGTGTGAGTTGGCCAACTTTGGGGCCAGGGCGCGCCCAGTCTCGGAGCCCTGGAGAAGTCGCGGGTTGGGGGGACGTGGTGCCCTCAGTCTTAAGTGCCCCGGCGAGTACAGCCGGAGAAGCCCGAGGCAAGGACCTCAGAACCGGCCTCTGCCGGCTCCTACCCCCACCCGAGGCTCTTGTTGGGACCGCAAGCGGAGGGGCCGAGGAGGATGGGGAAAATGCAATTCGCTCTCTCCTCAGCTGGAGCCCCTCGACCACAAACTCTGATCCAAGCATCAAGTTTCACTTAGTGCTTGTCCCTGGAAGGGCTAAACCCAGCTGCCAACACGAGGCACTAAAGTAGGGGTGAGGTCTTTTCCCTCAAAGGGTTAAAGAGCACCACCACCAGGTCACTCTCTGGGGATCTCATGGGGCTGCCCCAGTTGGCTAATGACACTCCCCTTCCCAACTGCCCAGGGCGCCTGCTATGCGTGGGAATCTCCAGCAGGAACCTCCCTGTGATTGGACCGTGTGTTTCCCAGGGAGAAATTGGGGAAGCTTAGCCAGGCTGAGGCCAGTTAGAGCATTTTAAGTTGATGACCTGCTGATGTTATGTGTTTCCCCTTGTGTGGCCTCTGAAGGTCCCCCATCTCTCTAGTGCACTGTGAGCACTGGGGTTCATGGCATTCAGACTCTTCCACAGGCTTATGTAGCCCAATGAGGTGACCAATTGCTGGCATTGGTGGGAACCCTTGGGATGTCTGTGGGCTAACTGATGTTCATTAAGGTGGTTGAGGATGGGAAGTGTTCATGTTGCCTTCTATTTCTGTCCGTGGTCCTTTTCCCCAACTGGTGACAGCCCACCGCTGTTAACGGGCCCCTGGTCTTTGATATTGCCAACTTGTACATCTAAGCCTCTAGTTAAGGGGGAAGCAACATGAGCCAGGTAGAAGATCCCAGCCTTTGACATTGAGAAACCTGGGATCAAATACTAGTCCTGCAGCTTGTTCATTATGTGACCTTGGATAAATTGCTTCTTCTCTCTGGGCCTCAGTTTCTCTACCTGTAAAATGAAGGGGCTGGAAAAGACGTCCTTGGGATGATGGAGAATTGAGTTTAAATTTACATATCCTCTTCTTACCCCTTCCATTTTCAGGTCCACTTTTGGGAAACATAGAGGAGTATAGACTTGTCATCCCAACCAGCACAGATGCAGAGGGCAAGTTCTTATCACATTTGGTGTCTGGAGCTGGTAAAGGTCGATCCCGAAGGGATGTTGGGGACTTGCCCAGGGAGGATGCCAACGAGCAGATATTTTACAACGTCACTGTGTTTGGAAGAGACTTCCACTTCAGGCTGCGGCGGAACTCCCGGCTTGTGGCCCCGGGTGCGACTGTTGAATGGCAGGAAGATTCCCGTGAGACTCGAGTAGAGCCACTCTTGGGGAACTGCCTCTATGTGGGTGGCATCACTGGTCTGCCCAATGCTTCTGTCGCTATCAGTAACTGTGATGGGCTGGTGAGTCTCTTTTTCTTGTACAGTGCATGCAGTAAGAATCACAAATTCAATCCCTTCCCAGCAATGCAGCTGGAATGGTCGGGAGCAAGAATAGTCTTAGGTGGCAGTTAGGTTCATTTGTTATAGGTACATGGCTAGAGGAGTGTGACCAGGACTATGAGGGGTCTAGGTAGTCTGCCCTATGAGAACCAGTTCAAAGAAGTGGGCTTATCTACCCTAGAGACTTAAGGGGACATGGTAGATGCTGACAAATATTTGAAGGGTCATCGTGGTTCAGAGGGGATGCCCGGAAAGTTTCAGGGAGGCCAATTTTGGTTTAATTTAAGGCAGGCCTTTCTAACAATTAAGGCTGTTTTGTTAGATGGTGAGTTCCTGGTGGTGGGGAAGTATTCAAGTGGGGACTGAATGCCCCCTTCCCCCACCCTGTCAAGGATAAAACAGAAGGGAATTCCTTACATTGGGTGGGAGGCTAAGTCTAGATCGACTTTAAGCTCAAATGCAATGATTCTGCAATTATAACAACTGACATTTGCATAGTACTTCAAGATTTGTAGTATGTTTTACACATATTGCTTCACTTGATAGGGCTGGTCCCTCTATTGGCTAGTTGTAGTAAGTAGCTATCTCCACACAGCTACCTTAGGCTCAGCAAGCCGTCTCCCTCCACCACTTCCCCCATCCTCTGTCTGTTTGGTATCTTTCTCAGAATTGCTGTTGTTAGAGCCCCTGGAAGGGCAGGATATAGCTTTTGTTTCTTTTGTGCTTTACTTCCCCCCACCCCCACTCCAATCCCTTACCCCCAACCCCTCAGTACCTAACATACAGTGCTGACTTAGTAGATGCTTAAAGCTTTTTGGTCTGGTTATTTTCATTAAGTCTTGTTGTGGGGGTAGGGGGAGGGAGGAAATTAGCTTCCTAGGACTTGCTTTACAAATTGGTAACTGGACAGCATCCACAGTGTAGAAATTCCTGGTTATTCCCCAGCTCCTGAGTCTCAGATGGTACAGAATCAGTATTGCATTGAGTCAAACTGTCAGACACTTGTTGACATGCTATGCTCTGGCTTTTATACCCTGGGGTCTGGAAATGCAGTTTTCTTTTATCTTTTTTGGCAGGGGTTAGGAATAGGGATGGGAATGTGTGCAAATATAGAAATTTATCCATTCCTGTCCCCAGTACTTGTTTTTGCCTCCCTTCTATTCCCTCGACCCCTAAATTGCAAAGCTATAGCCCTGAGGTTCAGTTTCTACAAATACTCAGTTTCCAATACTCATGGTTAAACATGAGGAGATGCTGCAACCAGGACAGATCGACCTGGGTTTGGAAAATGAGATGAGAGCAGAGATTGGGGTGAAGGCCCAGTGCTTGCCTAGGTCCGGAGTGGGTGATTTCTCTGAGCCTAAATGGTTCCTAAAAACCCTAACACTTGCTGGCCCTGCTCTGGACAGGGATGTTCCGGGTGGAATGGCAGGCCTGAAACTGCAGATTTTGAGTTTGGAATGCGAGTCAAGTGGTCAGACTGTATCTGTTGGTGCCAGACATCTGAAGCAGGCGCACTGTGTGTTTAACACTAATTGCTACGTGGCACACACTCACTCGGTTTAGTTGAGAAAGGCAGTTTTTGTCATGAATTGCTGCTCGGCTCCCGTAATTTCTCCTTCTCCATCGCAGGCTCATGTTTCCACTAGAGGTAATTGTTCCACACTTTTCTGTGCCCTGCTGTGGAATAGAGCTGACTGGCTCTGTGAATCTTAGGAAACTCTTCTTTGGCAGGCCTAAGCGGACAAAGAAATGGGTTTAGGAGACATAAACATTTCAGGGACCTATACTTTAATCTTTTTGAAGATAGTCAAAGTGAAGCTGCTTTTCAGACTTGGTATTTCCAAGGACAATTTCCTTCCTCCAAGTTATCATCAACAAAAATCCTTACACATGATACAGGCATCCCTCACTTTACAAAATAGTCCTGTTTCTGGAAAGTGAAAAGCAGGACCCAGCACGACGATAGTGTTCAATAACAACTTGTGGATCTGAAAAGAGGGGAAAAAAAATCAAACCAAACCAACCCAACTGAATATAAAGTTAATGTTGTTTTCACATTGACTTGCATAACTGCATGAGAGGAGTTTTGTTATTATTTCTGATTGACTTTTGGTGATCCACAGACTCTTTGTACCATCACTTTTTCTATTGAGTAGAAAATTATTTGTGAACCAACACTCAAATGCACCATGGGAACTGATGTATGAAGATTTTTTTTAAAGGTAAGTATATCAAAATATGAATAGTCACTATCTTTTTTTTTTTTATTATCTCCCAGCCTCAAATCCCTCCCTTCTCTGATCCTTTCTCAACTCAGTTGCTATTTTCATATTCCTATAGGACAGGTATGACCATGTTACTCCCTTGCTCAAAAGGATTCAGTGGCTCCCTATTGCCTTTAGAATAAAAATAACAACTCTGCTGTCATTTAAAGCTGTTTACAATTTGGCTTCAGCTCAAATGAGCACAGTAACCTAGTTTCTGCTAAACCCAAAGATTCCAGCTACTGGGGACAAGAACTATTCAACAAAAACTGTTGCAAAAACTGGAAAATAGTCCCCCAGAAACTAGGTATGGACCAGCATTTCATACTGTATACCAAGATAAGTTCCAAATAGGTCCATGATTTAGATATAAGGTGACATCGTAAGCAAATTAGAGGAGCATGGAATAAGTTACCTGTCAGATCTGTGGATAGGGGAAGGGTTCATGATGAAACAAGAGATAGAGAAGTTTGCAAGGGGCAAAATAGACAATTTTGATTACATAACTGTGGCAAACAGGGTTAAGTGACTTGTCCTTTTGTACAAACAAAAACAATGCAGCTAAAATTAGAAGAGAAACAGGAAATTGGGGAAAACTTTAGGTAGCATATTTCTCTGATAAAGGTCTCATTTCCAAGAAATATAGAAAACAGAGTCAAATTTATAAGAATAAGTCATTTCCCAGTTGATAATGGTCAAATGGTCAAAGGATATGAATAGGATGTTTTCAGAGGAAGACATTTAACCTATCAATAACCATATGAAAAAATGCTATAAATCACTAATACTTAGCTCATATTTAAACAACTCTGAGATAGCGCTTCATACTTACAGATTGGGTAAGTTGACAAAAAATTCAAAATACTGGATGGTCTGTAGTACTTTAATGCATTGTTGGTGCAGCTGTGGACTGGTCTAACCATTCCAGAAAGTAATTTAGAGCTATGCCCAAAAAACTTGTAAACTGTCTGTACCCTTTGATCCAGTGAAACCACTACTAGGTCTATACCAAAACCAAGGCAAAGACATCAGAGACGGTGGAAAGAACCCACATAGCTACAAAAATATCCATAGTGGCTCTTTTTATGGTGCAAAGACCTGGAAGCTGAGGGGATGCCCATCAGTTGGGGAATGGCTGAACAAGTTATGAATGTGATGGAATACTATGGTGCTGTAAGAAATAATGAAGGGGATGGTTTCAGAAAAACCTTGGAAGACTTGTGTGAATTGATGCAAAGCGAAGTGAGCAGAACCAGGAGAACAGTTTATACTGTAAATAGCAATATTGTAAAGATAATTGAGGTAGCTAGGTGGCACAGTGGATAGAGGGCTGGGCCTGGACTCTGGAAAACTTATCTACCTGAGTTTAAATCTGTCTTCAGACACTTACTAGCTATGTGACCCTGGGTGAGTCACTTAACCTTGTTGCCTCAGTTTCCTCATCTGTAAAATCTGGAAAACTTATCTTCCTGAGTTTAAATCTGGCCTCAGACACTTACTAGCTGTGTGATCCTGGATGAGTCACTTAACCTTGTTGCCTCAGTTTCCTCATCTGTAAAATGAGCTAGAGAAGAAAATGGCAAGCCACTCCATTATCTTTGCCAAGACCCCAAATGGGGTCATGAACAGTCGGACACGACTGAAACAACTGACCAACACCAAAGAGGAATTCTGATCAACACAAGGACAATTTGGCTTCAGCCTGTCTTTCCAGGTTTACGACATATCCCTTTCCATTTACGCACTCTGCATTCTGGCCAAGCTGACCTTGTCCTTGATCTGCCCTAGCTTCTATCTCCTCCCTCCATGCTTTGCAGAGATGGTCTGTAATGCAGTCGCCTCTCACCTCTCTTTCTTGGAGTCCTCTAGCTTCTTTCAGAGCTTAGCTCACATGCTGCCTTCTAATGGGACCGTTCTTGATTCTCCCAGCTGCTGGGGCTCCTACTTCATATCTATTTTTTATTATATGCATACATGTTATTTCCTTAGATTGCCTGTAACTCCATGCCTTGAGGGCAAGGACTAGTTCTAATTTTTCCCTGTGTCATTAGAATGTAGTGTGTTGGTCTGGACCTGGTGGAGAGCCCCTGGTGAGGAAAATCCGCCTCCCAGTGCACGTGGGCAGCTCTGCAATTAGTTAACCTGAGTTATCTGGGGGCTTCTTGTTGTTCAGGAGTCTTTCAGTCATGACTGACTCTTCATGGCGCCATTTGGGGTTTTCTTGGTGAAGATACTGGAGTGGTTTACCATTTCCTTTTCCAGCTCATTTTGCAGATGAGAAAACTGAGGTAAATAGGGTTAAGTGACTTGGCCAGGGTCACACAGCTAGGAAGTGTCTGAGGCCAGATTGGAACTCAGGAAGACATCTTTTTGACTACACGCCCAGCACTCTATCCACTGTGCCACCTAGCTGTCCTATCTGGGGGCGCTGGAGGTTAAGTGACTTGTCCTGAGTCACACAGCTAGCCCGTGTTAGAAACCAACCTTAAACCCAGATTTTTCTCCATTACATTATACTGCCATCCTCCATCTTATGAACATTAGGCACTTAATACATGCTTGTTGATTGGTGTTCTATGAGATTGGACTCTCCATTTAGTGTAAGCAATGATTACAGAAAGAAATCATGTGAGAGGTCCCATAAGATATACTTTATTGTCAGAACAACTGATTAAAATGTACAAAGTTCACCTT